CGGGTTTGACCTACATTTTTTAAGTGACCGAACTACTGTTGTATTACATTTTTCTACGTTCTTTGAAGAATAAATTAATTAAGAATCGATATAGTTTTTTTTTTGACAATAATGAAGGGACCCAGTACTACACCGGTACCTAAGATAGGTAAGCAAGCTTGTGACCGGCCACTGAAGCGGCAGCTTGGAACTCTTCGCCGATTATCTTATGTGCGCTAAGGTGGAAACAGTATTTGCTAAGGAGCTGACACCCAAGGACGAAACGAAGAAAAAAATCCACGTTATGCTGGCCCGTTTGATTTCGGAGGCCCAATAATTGTTATCTATCATGGGTAAGGCTAAACTAGATCCGGAATAAATTTCTGATCAGGACGGACACTTGAGAACGATGACGCATGTGCAGGAATTACAATCTATGTCATTTGAAGACATCACTGCATTTATTGTACGCACACAAAAACAGGAATTAGAGGATAATGCATACGACAGGTGTTAGCATGTATGAAGCTGACAATAACAACGATACTGCTTAATACTCAGATTCGTGAATTTGAAAGCAAAAAGAAAGAAAGACAGTATCAAAACCCTTTACATTTATACCGCAATCATGGTGTGCTTAATCTTATACGTAAAGCTGCAGGTGGAGGGTACTTCCATGATACTCTTCGTATACATCCACAAATTACAATAGCGAGAATATTCATATGAGAAATGCGTGATATTTTTCTTGTGAGATTTGACAATGCAGAGGAAAATTGGCAGATTTTTTTTTTCGCGACCACAATAGATTCTGGGGTACTTATGATTACATTCATATTTCCGTATGGATGCGAATACACGCGCTAACCCGCATTGCATGTACCGCCTACATCTAATCCACGTGTTTGTTGTCAGTCGTGTGAGAAGAACCTTCCGGCGGGACCAGGGCATGCAAGCCGCTGTCCAAACTACAACGACTACCGGTCCAGACCATCACCGGTAACCGGGCATAACATGGTGGGGCTACTTTACAACGTACATCGGCACCGGGCACATCGACGCGTGGGACACATAGAACGGGTAACGATTTCCGGCCTCGTGTTAACTTAGTGAACGATGATCAACTGCCTGATCAAATTCATGACTTGGCGACGAGTCGTATGACGATGGGGTGCCTGATGTAAACAAGTGCTTGTCCTTTGGTCGTACGTCAACAAGGATGTTTGCAGTAGAAAATAAATCATTTCCTGCCGTCAACCGAGTATATGTTACTTTACAACGGTACTTCTGACTGAGTTCACTCATTTCAGACTAAAACTCTTCACTAAACGTAGCTCGTTTTGACCACAACGAGCAGGGCGTTGTAGTAGTTCAGGCGCCATGTGTATGACATATTGTCTAGATTTGTGCAATTTTTATTCTGTCACCTTGTCGCCACCCATTATATCAGCCAACTTCTTGTCAGTACAAAAGTCATCCTTTTTGTCGCTTCATCAGCAGTGAAATAAATAAGACGAATGATCGAGAAATAAAACTGCAGACTGAGCTCAAAATACTCTCAGTTTTGTATTAAATTTGGGGAATGACTGAACCAACCAACCATAGTACTAGGTTAATTTGTTTAGTCAGGTTTAAAGAAACCAGGAGCGGATCGTGCGGACTGAAATCAAAGTACTCGCAACACTTTCCGGTTTTGTAGTAAATTGATTAAACCTAGTACTATGTTGGTTGGTTAAAGTATGAGTATTTTAAATTGGTTAAACCTAGTACTAGATTGGTTGGTTAAAGTATGAGTATTTTCATGAAAAATGTCCATAAAGGGGATGCCAGGCACCTATTGGATATTATGATTAAGGCATTCAAAGGACGGATATTCAACACACATGCGCATCCAAATATTCTTCCGGACATCTGTCCGTAAAACAACAATACAGGACAGAGGCGTGTCGCAACGTTATATACTTCATACACGTTCCTGTCAGGCACTTTGGGTATCATACACTACAAGAATTCACTACAACATTGAGGACGGATCTGTGTGTGATATTATTTTATTTAAGTAGTTGAAAAGAATAAATTTCATATGTTTTGTATCCATGGTTGGTTCATATATTAGACAATAACCGTTATATACAAGATAATCATACAATTTTACAAGTACTGTAAATTGTTTTATAGTTCAGAAGTTAGTCGCCATAGGAGAATCCAGACATTAAAAGTGAATTTTAAAATAAAACGACGTATCTGAAATATTCATGTTGTATCAATTGGATCTTCCGAATGGAGATGAATATTCATTATTAATTGTCATAAAATATGGAAAGATTTGGTAGATAACAATCCACTCTCAGAATATCACTGACTCAAAATGAATTAGAAACAAACAGCTTCTGTACTACATATTACTTTTCTCTCTCACCTTTCTGACAGTGAAAATATTAAATAACAATTATTTACCCAAATTTGAAATTTGGTTCACACAGGAATGAAAATAATAATAATAGAAACTCCGTACATAGGGTCCTGACAATTTATTTCCAACAAGTTGTCAGTACCAAAAATTCTTATTAACCAATGGAAACGCTTGGTAATTGACTAGTAGCGTTGCAAGTCAGGTATCCGTATTTAGTTTTACATCCATTCAGGTCAACTATCATCGTTTTTACCTAATTTTCGCCAGTTTTTAGGGCCGCTTTATAAACGTTCAAGGGGGGTTTTAGAAGTGTTCTGCACTCTGGTCGGTTGATGGGTATCGGGATTTCCCCCCCCTCCACTTGCAAGATTCGAATTTGGGCTCAAACATTTTTTTTTCCTTTCTTCATCTCGAGTATTTAGATTTTAGAATAAAGCCTACTACATTGAAGAACTTCCATGTGTCGTCTACCAACGGTTAAGGTACGTTTACATCTAAATAATTGCGAATCGATAGAATTGTTGGTCATAGGCTACTAGTATGTATTCGCACACAAATAAATAAAATATATCAATTCAATACCGACGGAGGAATTGACGAATTGAGACAAAATTTAGAATTCAGGAGACTGCAATGGGCCAACAATCACCGATACTTTTTTGTGTTTTTAAAAAAATATGAGAAGTACCGGTCTGAAAGTGCTGAAAAAAACTATAGAGGATAGTAAAAAAAAAGTCAAAAACCAGCTTCTATTGACTATTATAGAGAAGGCTGCGAGCAAAAAAGTGAGAAAATCCTGTATGAACATAAAATTCGTATGAATTTTCAAAAAATACAAATGGGATAAAGCAGCTTGGTTGCTGTCGACCTTGCTGACCGGTGTTTTTATCGCTATCAGCATCTTTTAAGCTGTGTTTACGGTTTTGGCAGCTTTCGGCATACATACACTACTAGCTTCTTCAAAAACTGGACACATTACATTCCCCACCAGTCTCTCAATACAATGTGAAAAGGTATTCATATGCTGAAATTATGATACTCAGGGATGGTTTATGGTATTAGGGCTTCAGCGACTTACTAATCAATACCAAATTTTACATTATAAGTGTGCAAAAGTCAAGTTTCTTGGGATCGATACATGAATGAAAATCTGGTTTGTTTTACACTAAAGGATCATTTGAGTTCCCGGGTATGCCTTCGTGGAAAAACACTAACAGGTACGAATCGGTCAACTTTGTGCAATTCCTAGTCTGTAGATACGTATATTGATCTTAGCATACAGGGAACCAAAGCCAGAGCGGATCCTTCTACGGGCATCCTTCTGCGGGCTAGTTGATCGCGAAACATATCATGGATATCGGCTTCACTTTAAAATCATGTGGGAACCCGATTTTGATCTCGTCCCGGGAAATATATAAATAATATTTGCGACCATCATGCCAAATCAGAATTTGGGTTTCAAAAATTTGCCCGCCCACATAGATATTTTATACTAATTTGCATTCAAGTAAGGCTCAGGAGGATCGTCTCTCGATGAAGTTGATGCGAGGCTTGATACGCTGCCGGGATAAGACTAGCATCGCACTTCAGTAGTAGAGGTTGAAGGATCCAATTGCACTGCAGAACAAGGCATCGGACGATTCCTTAGCCGTAACGTATGTAATTTTATGATATGGTAAGAAATATCGCAAATATTGCAATTTTCGACATATACTTGCCAGGTTTGGTCCTCGTATGAACAATGTGGTGTCAACGGTGTGTGGTGATATAGCTATTCCGATTTTCCATAATGTCAAATGATGCACTCACACTTTCTAAGCGAGACTTCTGCATATCCTGAATCATAAAGTACTAATTAATTTGAAATCTCGGTGTGGAGCCTTGTGATCTGGACTGTATATGAGGATTCATATCTGGACTGTAAATGAGGATTGTCCTGAATTGACCGAGACATGTTTAGACAGCTACGAGACATATTAGACAAATCAGCTATCTTTAGTCCACACATATATTTCGGTTGATCTGAGGTTGGTGTCTGATCAGAATTTTGACAACAGCATTTTTAATATTGCACTCAGTCATCCTCAAATGCTCGCTATAGGCGACTATTTCAAGCAGGATCAGAGAGTTCACAATGTATATTCTTATGAGATGGTATACGGCTTGTAAACATTTCGTATGGTCAACAATTCGAATTATAATGTGAAGAACCCTGTCAGGTTGCTCTGTACAGCAGCTCGCAAGTTTGTAAGATTTCTCGTATTCACTGTATTACTATGTTTGCTGGTGAAACTTCTGATATATCCTATTACTGTACTCTTCCAGCGGCACGCTGCAATATTTCATGTGTAGACGTGCAGATGTAGACGTTTATCGTTCTCTGGATGATGTTTCAAATTCTCTGCGTGTAATTATGAGATACCATGTTCAGACTGGTATTTCGCTCGAAACACAGCTCAATTATTCGTCGTGTGCAAGTGAGAGTCAAGAGAGATCAATTTGGACTATCTGGTATTGCACGCCATAGCATCAGTGTCGCCTACACTTTTTATTGTGAGAGTTGATGGTACCAGAAGCATGGTATATTGTTTTTAAACATATATTTCGAAGTCAAAGTAAGAAAACACTTTCGACCTCTTCTGACCTAACTTGAAACCTATCTGTCGCATCATCAGAAAAAACCTGTTGTCATTTCTTCTAATCCCATCAACACTATCGTCAACACACTCCGCCAGGAAGAATAAAAATCTCTTGTTTTCGTGAGTGGCGAAAAATTGCTTGTGCTAAAGGTTAGGCTTTACACGCACTAGCTGGGGAGGTCGATAAACACGGGCAACGGAGCTCGAGACTGAGAATTGCAGGGTAGTACTTCAGACCGTGTCGAGAGTTTCTTGCCCACTGAGTCATACACACCTTGACATGTTGAAAGAGCGCGACATGAATCATAACACAAATACGCAGCGAACAGCAAACTCTGATGGTGCTCCAGTGAAAATGGGTCGCGTTGTAAATTTCATTGATGTCGATGATCTGGACAGCGACGAAACCGGAAATTACGGCCCAATGCCACCTGCTGTAGGCATGTCAAAGAGCAAAGTATCTCGTGTTAATGCGCCTCGAGCTCAATCGCATGCATCGGCGGCGAACAGTGCCAGGACTATCAAGCAAGATAGTAAGCAAAACTCGCTGTCCAAGACTATGAATGCGAAACCCTGTGCCAGCGCTGCGAGTCTCAATGCGAACAGTTCTGTCAGCAATAAGAAGAGCTCTTCACCTGGTCCTGTAGTTCCGGCGATTGGCTCTACAACAATGCAAAAAAGAGTGATAAGTAACATAGAAGGCATACCGAAAAAAGCGTTGGCAGGCCCAAATGCACAACTTGATAGCCCCCCACCCGCTACAATACCGCTTACCGAGGTATGTTAAAGTGCTTTTCTGAAAATTGCGTTATTATCACTGTACCTCGCGAGTCAACGAGTCAATCGTCAGACTTTGAGTTAAACGTTTACATCTGCACTTTCAAGCCATTTACTGAGGCACATTCACTATAGTTTGTTGCCTCGTACCTTTTCTTCACTTAATTGCTGGTATCAATGAGGATCAACAGTTGGACGTGAATTTTTTCCAGGATTGCAGAAACATAAAGCTTTTGCAAGCCCCCCAATCATAGGAGAAACACACATTTATAAACTTATAACACGCTAAATTCCCGCTTACAGACACAGTTCGACCCAAAATCGTCGGATAAGGCCATAAATTATTTGAAAAGGCCGCGTCGAAAATCATCTGGAGCCGGCAACACAGTGGTCTCTACAGAAGAACAACTAGGCGGTAACAGTACTAGCGAGGACAGAAAAACCGTCTTACACGCGGTCGAAAGTGGGACACAATCCCAAGTCCAGAAACGATCACAAATTTCGCCTAGTAATTATGCTCCGTCACAGGCACAAATATCGTCCTTGGTCGGCACAGCTAAGGGTAGCCTTAACATTAGAGTGGGCCCCGATGGAGTTGTTAATATGAGTACGGACGATGAAGATAACTCGCCCCCACCGAAGGCAGTGAAGCTGTCGCCGCCTCCGGCAAGAGAAAAGCCACAGTCACAGCACAGCATACAGAGACCGAATCGAAATAGGGTCAAGAGGAAAATAGAGAATGTGGCGCACACAGAGACTGTGCCGCGGAAAAGCACACATGTTAATTCGGACGATAGGCCCATGGCGATGAATACGAACACGAACACGAACACTAACACTAACGCGACTACATACACGAACGCGACGAAGTTGGATACGAGCACAGGCACGATAAAGACAGCGAATACAAAGCCGAGCACCACCTCCAGGAAGACCACGGACGGTAAATCTGCTACGACTAGGCGGAGAGTCGTACCGTATTTACTTGAGTCCGGTTCCGATACACTCAGCAAAAGGTACGGAAATGCGTGGCAAGGGCTCTTGGGCCAAATTTTGTTGTGAGCGATCATCGGGGCCTACTGCACATTATATAATCCTCAATGTCCCTATTATTCCATTTGGCATACAACCCATGCACGTTCAATTCAAGGGGACGTGCGTATGGCTATACCCTAGACTCACCCCTGTTGAATTTCACTCACGTATTGTAATTCGCCGTGCTCATATCAGCTATGCTTGTTATAGACAACCTCGCTGGCGTTTCGAGATCCAATTGCGTACGGTGTATGTCGATCTTACTTCTTTTTGGTTCAATACTGAGCAGGGGAGTTAGGATAACTAGCAGGAGCAGCTATCGAACGACCGAACAACTGGATAGCTCATCGGAGGATGACGACGATAGTGATGGAACTCCAGGCCCCCCTGCTGCGCTGGTATGGGGTAAAAGGGATAAGTTGTATAAACCTGCAGGTATATCGCAAAAGCAGAAGGGCGGGATGTCCAACAGTGGCTTAATATCGAGGAATGGAACGAAAACGAAAGCGGAGAGTATAGTATGTAGTATTGCAAATGGTGCTGACATGAAACCGTGGGATAGAAGTACGTCAGCTACCGGAATAGTCCATGTCAAGCGCCCTAAGTACTTAGACTGTCAAAGTGAGCAGATAGGGGCATGGCGAAAGAAGAAAACATCAAAGACAAAGCATAACCTGTCCTTCGATAAGACTGGTATGTCAGTGTAGGTTGCTTTACTTTTGCGTATTTGTCAATGCCCACACAAGCGATGAATGTTTATTATAGTCAGGATGAAGCGTGTAGTTACATTTACAATCCATATGTAGAGTAGACGAAATTATTCTCATTTTTGTTATTTTCTTATCGTTCCATTGGCATGTATATACCTGAGCTGTCTTTTTATTTTTCACACTACCCAGGCAACGTAAAGGGATACAGCAGTATCATGCGTTCACAAATGGACATCGCTATCCGAGCAGCGGAATTATCGCGACATACTGAATACAAGGAAACTGATCGTGAAAAATTAGGCGTGGATGACCTTACGGGCGACGACGTGATACTTGATATACTGGAGAATGCTGTGCTTATATTGGATGATAATGGAGACGAGAACGAGTCCATCTACGGGTATTTTGTAGACGAACCCTGCCCTGCGTCCAGCACTCAGAGATCACGGGCTCGGAATAGTGATGAGTCTCGGGTCCCAATGGAGCTGCCTACGAAGCCCCCAGTAGTAGAACGTGGAGTTGCGAACAATAAGGCCATTGTAAACACAACAGATGAGCATAGCATGCAGGGTCCTTCACGTGTTAATGAAAATACGCTCTCAAAGCGTCCAGAATCCGCACTATCGCAGGCACAGGCTTTTTCACTGCCTGCACGCGTCACTAGACGGTCGGGTTCCGTATATGCGGGCGAGAAGAAGGGCCGGACATCAGAGGAGATGTTTCAGCAGATCGCTTCCCGCAATGAGAGCAGACCGTATGTATAAGAAGCGTGTGTTATTCTTTCTATTTGAGAAGTTCAGTATGCGCTTCGTTTCTGACAGGCACAGTCGGTGGGGCTCTTAGCTACGAACATCTAGCACGTCGATGATTGTTTATTAAGTCACCACGCGTTGTTTTTTTGTATCCTGTCGGAATCGGCATTGTATTTGCGGCGTGGGACAAGAGGTTTTAGATAAGAGCACTTGGATTTCCTCATGTATGTAGCGGTCTCAACCTATCACAGTTGGAACAGCATCGCAAAAGGTCGTCGAATGACCAATGAGGGCAATATGGTCGATGCCGCAGAGGAGCAACGGCTCAAGGAGCAGAGTAAAAAGGTAAGCGTCACGTCTTGTAAAATATTTTGTATCCGGACACGTTTGTAGGCACCATAGGAGTGCCATCGAAAACAGGAATTTTGACTTATGGAGGGCTTGTGGCATGTCGTGCAATTCACTGTATCCCGGGTAGCACTAAATTTGAATATCCCGGGGTTTCTCACGTAGTTCTACCGCGAGCAGTTGCAATTGGAGCGGGATGTGTTCGGGTTTGACCACACGCCATATACGCCGGACTTTGTACCAGCGGAATCGGTATGTAAACGCTTCAGGATGATTTCCAATTTTCATGAATGAATGTACCTTGCTCATGCTTGATACATTGTTCTGCGTCGGAGACTTTATACGGACTATGCGGGCTGTCGTATAAATTCTTGGCGCCAGTTTCAATGATACTCTTTCCAGGCATTATCTGGTTTTGAGAGTATAGCATTATGTATTCCGCACACACACAAGTACTAGAGCTATGTATCTGCAAAGAGTACAGTAAACCAAGGAATACTCATTCACAATAATCCATACACTGATACTGATCATGCTTAACTTGTACTTCACCTTCATTCATCGTGCCGTGTGCAGCCGGAACCAGAGGAAGAAGTGGAGCACAATAATCATTGCAGCACTTGCTGTATGTGAAGCTGTCATGAATGAAGCCATTTTTTGGACGTCTTGTTGTTGTCCCTGTTCATTCGTTATCAGTACTCATGACTGCACTTCTGTATGGGTTGACGAGACTGAGACTATACAAATCTATTTTTTCCCGGTGGGCTATTGTTGTATGCTATCCGCCAGGTCGTATTCACTTCATTTCGTTCGAATACGAACATTTTAGACTAGTTGAATTCGCAAATCGTCAATGTACATTGATCATTCTATGTATACACACGCACATACACACACATGCACACACATGCACACACATGCACAAACATACACACACACACACACACACAACACACAAACACACACACACACACACACACACACGACACACACACACACACACACACACAACACACACACGACACACACTACACACACACACACACAC